GTATGTATAAAAATGGTTCAGAAACCTATTCCCATGAAGCAAGACAAACAGTGATCGATTGGTTTTAACTTGCGCAAGGGAAGCCCCGGTCGGTATCTCAGAAAAGCACTGTGAATCCAACCTCAGATGACTCTGACCCCAGCCTCCACTTGCCGCCTTTTATTGAAAACCGTTACAGTTCACACAAGCACCGCCCATTGTAACCCACCTATGGTTACAAAAGATAAGGCACTGTGTGTATGTGTGTGTGAGTGTGTGTGTGTGCACGTGTAAGCACGTGTGTGTGCACGTGAGTGAGTGTGTGTCTCTGTGTGCGTGACTTCCTGATTACAACTGTTTTAACAACATCCTTGGTCATAAAAAAGGTCACCTCCCCCCACCCTATATATGGCTCAATTCCTGTAATGTTTCACCATACACAAACACAGGTGATGCCATAATGGCAGGAAGTTTACTAAACAAGAACACAGAACCTTCACATATGATGTGCCTGCAGGTAAACACTATAACTAATTGCCTCCCTAACATCTTACATGTATAGTGGAGGAACAGAAGAATGCCTTTGATCATACAGTTTAAGGCAAGGTTTACAAATTTAAGTACAACAATGGCAACATTTAACAATTCACTCTAACAGCAGAGAAATTTGAATTTGTGTGTACAGTATATAATAACTGATTGTTTCATATGTTAAAGTGGGTCCATATTCTGTCATTCATGAAACACACCTGATTTTGTTTGGAAACACAAATTAACACCTTTCTTTAGAATTGTACTCATTAAATATGAAGCGTTCACCATGGATCTCGTAATAGTTTCTCTCCACATACTGCTTTGGATCAGGTTTTTCTAAAACTCATGAATCTTCACTGAGGGTCAAAAACAGCTCCAGACTGACTCGCAGTAAAACTGTTAGAAACTCCAGAATGATGATTTTGAACAGATTAAACAAAGTGTTTAGTTACATCTGCAGTTTTATGAAGATAGGGACAATCTATTCTGGAAATTTGTCCATAATCAGAGAACAGTTACACTTTTATTTGGTGACACTACTGGTGGTGAATTATTTCAAAATGTTAAAGACGTCTTATTTCATTAAATGTTTTTACTGTTGATGTGTACTCATTATCTCAAACTGTAAAACAGGATTAATGATTCATCTCAGTGCTTTACTTTTCTGCAGCTGTTTCAGATCAGTTCCTCTTCAGCTGAGAGGTTTTTGTACGATGGTTTTTCACTGTGTGAACGGGAAGCTGTAACCACTTTGTCCACAATAATAAACTCCTGCATCTTCAGCCTGAACTCCACTGATGGTCAGAGTGAAGTCAGTTCCTGACTGACTTCCACTGAAGCGATCAGGAATTCCAGACTGACGACTGGTTGCATATGAAACGAGCAGTTTAGGAGATTCTGCAGGTTTCTGAAGATACCAGTGCAGGTAGCTACCCATACTTGAACTGGCTTTACATCTGATAGAGACAGTCTGTCCTGGAACAACAGACTGAGCTGTAGGAGTCTGAGTCAGGATGATTTCTGCTGATGAACCTGAAAATATTAATGAGATGAGAAGAGTTACTGAGAAAAATCCATCTTGGAGTAAATTTACTTGAATTTGAAGTGTGGAGTTGGCTGCATGCTGAGGTTTTCACAGAGAGTCTCACCCTGAACAAGGAGCCCCAGGGTGGCCAGCAGTAGAGTCAGTGACATCA